TGGGTGTGGGACCAGCCTGTTTTGCATCTCCTCCCCTCCTACCAGTCTCAATTTGGCTTCTTAATTCCCTAGTTGTAGGACTACTACCATTCAGCCTTATTTCAGGTGGTTCCAAATGATGGTTGTTCTGTATTTTAATTGTAATTTTGATGTGGTTGTGGGAGGAGATGAGTACCTTGTTTACCTTCACTACCATCTTGACTGGAAGTTTGTTTTATTTTCCAGAAGGAGAATCTCTTCAGCTTTCAACATTTCTGAGCTGAAACCAAATATTAGAATTTTAAAAGGTTGCCTCTAGTACTGGGTGATAATTTATGTTAAATTGTTCAGTTAAAACAATCATGAAACTTTTTTTGGCCAAAAAATCTGATTCGGTTCAAATTAAATTTAATATGGAGAGAGATCAAAGTTTATTAACATAGACATACCTTGTTTTAGTAAGCTTCATTTTATTATGCTTCACATATGCTACAGTTTTTACAAATTAAAGATTTGTGGCAACCCTGTGTCAATCAGGTCTATTGGCACCATTTTTCTAACAGCATTTGATCACATCATGTCTCTGTCACATTTTGGTAATTCTCACAATATTTCAAACTTTTTTGGTATTAAGGTCCTCTGTGATCAGTGATCTTTGATGTCACTATTGTAATTATTTTTGGGGCACCATGAAGCATGCCTATATAAGACAGCAAACTTAACTGATAAATGTTGTGTGTGTTCTGAGTGCTCTACTAACTGGCCATCCCCCATCTCTCTCATTTGCCTAAGGCTTTCTTATCCTCTGAGACACAACAATATTGAAATTAGGCCAGTTAATAACCCCACAGTGGCCTCTAAGTGTTCAAGTGAAAGGAAGAGTTGCATATTTCTCACTTTCAATCAGAAGCTAAAAATGATTAAGCTTAGTAAGGAAGGCATGTTGAAAGCCAAGACAGGCTAGAGAGAAGTCTATGTCTATCTTCAAAGCTTCAAAGGACAGGCTGACTCTCTTGTTAGTGGCTAATGCAGCTGGTGACTTGAAGTTGAAGCCAGTGCTTATTTACCATTCCAAAATCCTAGGGCCCTTAAGAATTATGCTAAATCTTCTCTGCCTATTCTCTATAAATGGAACAACAAAGCTGGATGACAGAACATCTGTCTGTAACATGGTTTACTGAATATTTTAAGCCCACTGTTGAGATCTGCTCAGAAAAAAGATTCCTTTTAAAATATTACTTCTCACTGTCAATACACCAGGCCACCCCAAGAGCTCTGATGGAGATGTGCAACAAGATAATGTTGTTTTCCTGCCTGCTAATACAGCATCCATTCTGCAACCTATGCACCAAGGAGTAATTCCGACTTTCAAGTCTTATTGTTTAAGAAATACAATTTTTTAAGGTTCTAACCGCCATACATAGTGATTCCTCTGATGATCTGGGCAAAGAGTACAAAACTTTCTGGAAAGGATTTACCATTCTAGATGCCATTAACACTTGTGATTCATGGGAAGAGGTCAGGATATCAACATTAACAGGAGTTTGAAAGAAGTTGATTTCAACCCTTATGGATGACTTTGAGGGGTTCAAGACTTCATTGGAGGAACTAATTGTAGATGTTGGTAGAAGTAGCAAGAGAACTAGAATTAGAAGTGGAACCTGAAGATGTGGCTAAATTCTCATGATAAAACTTGAGCAGATGAGGGGTGGTTGTGAAGATTATATTTTGCTACACTCATTTTAAACCTAATCTATCAATAGTTCAAAACTATTTTTCTGAAAAATTATATAATGACCAAGGTTGTATATTGTGTATTTCTAAAAACATTAAAATTATGTGAAAGATCGCTCCTGAAAATTTATAAATAAAGCATAGTACAATGAGGAAAACGAAAATAACCAATAATCCTACCCAATCAAATCTACTTACTAAACATTTTGGTATATTTCTTTGACTTTTATCTCCTGTATAGTAGCTGTTATTGACCCTTCTTTTTCAATTACCATCATATTATGAAACATATACCATTAAATATTCAAACACATGTTTACCAATAAACTGTACAGTATTGTCATGATTATCATAAATAAATCATGAGCATCATAAATTAAGTATTTTTGATATTATAAATAATTGCGGCAAACATTTTTTTTCCTTTTTCTTTGAGACACTTTTGAGTAAACCAAATATTCATTATGCTTAGGGTAGAAAATTTGAAAATCATATAAAATCACAAAAAACATGACCCCAAATAATTATTTATAACTTGATATATATGGCGCCATTTTTTCTGTGTATACCGATTATACTGTAATATAAATATTTCCCCAGATTTTTGCTTATATTTTTAGTATAAATTTCTAAAGTAGAATTATTTCTTCAATGTAAGAATATTTAAAAGACTCTTCATGTACTTTGCCAGATTGCTCTCCATTTATACTTTCCTTTGTAAATGCTTTTACTTTGTAAGGTTATTTGTTATCAATTATTAGGCTGCTGCAGTTGTATTTGTTAACATAAATTACATCCTGGATTATATATGTATTTAGAACTATTCTCCTTTAGCTGGTTATTAAGCTTGACACATGTATTTTTTCAACATTACTGAAAAAGGAAATAACATTTGAAAGTCTGGTTTCTTTTGTGATTTTTGTGTATGGTTTTCTATTGCCATAAATTTTTCTTTACTACCAAAAAGTTAAGAAAAGTAAAAATATATTTTTTCTAAGTCATCTAACTCAGCATCTTTTTTTTTTTTTATCCTCACCCGAGGACATTTTTCCAGTTTTTACTCAGATAGAGCGGGAAGAGAGAGAGGAAGAGAAAGAAACATCGATGTGAAAGGAACACATTGAGTGGCCGCCACCCACACGACCCAACCAGGGCCGGGGACAAACTGCAGCCAAGGTACATGCCCTTAGTGGGAACTGAACCCGGGTCTCTGTGGACCGCAGGCTGACGTTCTAACCACTGAGCTAAACCGGCCAGGGCTAACTCAGCATCTTTTAAACCTAACCTATCACTTAAAAATTATTTTAAATAGGTAGTAAATACATACGGTGTAAAATTCAAAAAGTTCAAAGGGGCCATGCAGTAAAGTCTTCTTACTCCTCTCTCTCAGTTCTCTTTCCTGGAAGCAACCATTTTAGCAATGTCTTGTGTATTCATCTAGAGATACTGTATAGTCTTTATATAAATTTGTATGCATACATGTACACAGTGGGTGGGTAGCATGTCTGCACTTGAGATTCTTCCATTACATCTTATGGAGAGGTAGCTGCCTTGTTCTTTTTAAAGGCTCCATTTAAAAGCATGTGTTTGTATGAATGATTATAACTAATTTAATTAGTCTCCCACTGATCATTTCTAGTCTCTTCCCATTGCAGATGACACTGCATTTTGCTTTGCCTGTGTGTAAATATATCTGCAGGGTAAATTTCTAGAACAAGAACTATGTCAGTGTGTGTGCTTTAAAAAAATGTGTTGTCAGATTGTTTTTCCTAGGCTGTAGTAGTTTATGTTCCCACAGTATATCTGTTTCCTCATATTCCAGACATCACAGGATATCAAACTTTTTGACATTTATCAATTTGTTTAAAAATATATCTTAAAATAGTTATAATTTTAAGTTTTAGTTTAAATGGAAAATATGCAATTGTTTTTGTTGTTTAATAGCCTTTCCTATAACCCTTTTAAGTGAACATGAATTATTTAAATTTTTATCTGATAATGAACTTTAATAAAATTAACGCCAACATTAAATATAGATCATTTTATAAAGGAAGACTTAAACATTGTGTAAAGATGTTGCTTAATGCTGTCAAAATATGGATTTATGGGTTTTATTAGATTTTTGTTAATAAGGATGCAATCTCCAGTTAAAAATTTCCAGTTTAAGCTGACTCTTAATTTTATATTTTACCTTGTTCCCATGTAAAGTTTTAAAGCACTGTCCTTAAAGGAATGCATTATGTAGACAATGCCATTAGCCCTGATAGTTGTGTGTATAGCAGAGACCTGGGAAATTGCTGTATAGTTTAAAACATGTTGCCTCCAGGTGTCATATTAGTCTGTATATTACATGAGCAGTGAGGCCCGATGACTAAGTTGGGGTATATGAGGCCCTTATGTAAGCATATAGGCAAGTTCTTCACAGCTATATGACACGTAAATCTGTCATTTTATAATCCGGCTTCACACTACTTCTTTCTTACTTTCCCATTACTCATTTCTTTTTTTTTTAATTAATTTATTTTTTTATCCTCACCCGAGGACATTTTTTCTTTTCTTTTTTATTTTGTTCAGTTAGAGTGGGAGGGAGAGAGAGAAAGAGAGAGAGAGAGAGACACATCAACACGAAAGGGACACATCGAGTGGTTGCCACCCGTACGACCCAACCAGGGCTGGGGACAAAGTGCAACCGAGGTACATGCCCTTAGCGGGAACCGAACCTGGGTCTCTCTGGACCGCAGGCCGACGCTCTAACTGCTGAGCCAAACTGACCAGGGCCCATTACTCATTTCTTCAACCAGCCTTTGTTCTGCTAAGGATTAACATCTTAATATTTTCAAATATTCATTGCTATGTTTTTGCATGTACTGTTCTTTAGGATTCTCACCCCCCTTTTCTTGGCATACATGAAGGCCCAGCTCAAATGTTACATTTTTGTTTTTCAAGTTGTTGGTAGCTACTGTAGTCTGAATTATTTGCCCTCTGTATTCATCTTTGCTTTCTAAGTACCTAATATATTGCTTGGTATACAGTAATAAAAGATTTAAAAGTATTTTGTAGTCCAAGTTGACTCAGTTCACTTAGAAATGAAAATTAGATTTAAGTGGTATGTATAGTTTTGTGATCTAAATAACTTTAGAAATCTTTGTCAGATGTACTTAGTTAACCATTTGATTAATTACCATTAACATTGTGTGAAATATTTGTATTTGATGTATATGTGTTGATGTTGGCTTGTGACAAAAATGTAAGGAATTTTATTGTAAAGATATTATTTGTTTACACAGAGAATGTCCAACCACACAGATGCAGCAGGAGAAGTACTATTAGAAAGAAAAGGTTGTGCTGGAGTGATAACACTAAACAGACCAAAGGCCCTAAATGCATTGACCCTTAATATGATTCGGCATATTTATCCACAACTAAAGGTTTGTAATTTTCTTAAGCAATTATATGGATTATTTTAAATGTATCTTTTTTCCCCCCTTGGTTAACCTTCACTGAGGATATTTGTTTATCGATTTTTAGATAGAGTGGAAGGGAGGGTAGGAGGGAGAGATGGAAACATCGATGTGAGGATGTGAGAGAAACATTGATTGGCTGCCTCCTGCACGCCCCCTACTGGGGATCGAGCCCCAAACCAGGAACTCTCAGTTCATGGGACAATGCTCAATCCACTGAGCAACACTGGCTGGGCTCTAGTTGACTAATTTTTTATTGGTCCATTGTTCTAGTCTTTTGAATTAACATTGGCTCTTGATTCCTTCATCCTACTTAATTATTAGCTGGCCTTACTGATCCCAAATCACTTCCATATCTGATCCATTTGTTTTCACTCTGTTACTTATAAATTTGTCAGTAGGACAGAGCTCTATATCACCACAGTCAAAAGGTTATTGCTCTGTTTATCAATAATCTTTGGATTTATTTGTTCACGAAGTTTCTAAGCTTATCCAACACACAGTATTATTAAGCCCATCTGTTTTCTTTTAACCTTCATCTGAAAGTTTTCATGGCAAAGATTTCAGATGCCATCATGAAATTTGGATCACAAAATATATTCATCTAGCAACGTTATTGGAGTAGCCTCTGATTTATGTCAGAAAAGAAAATGAAGTTGGGACCCATTCTTCTGGATATATTTTACAAAGGTTATGCTATATATTATATATGGAGATATATACAGGGTGGGGCAAAAGTAGTATATCCATATACTATATATCTATACACTATATATGTATGTATATATATGTATCTGTGCAAGTGGATATATCTTTAATGAGTTTGTAGTCATAATGTGTTTATACCATCTTCTTTTTAGAAGTGGGAACAAGATCCTGAAACGTTACTGATCATTATAAAGGGAACTGGTGGAAAGGCTTTCTGTGCTGGGGGTGATATCGTAGGTAAAAAATTTTTTTCTCTCATCTAAATGCTTTTCCTCTTCAACAGAACTGATAAAGTATTAACACATTTTTTAAGTACTTCATAATTTTTGTTACTTCTTAGAAATTTTTTTGTTTTAAAGGTAATATATTCTCATGTAGTTAACTTAGAAAAAGGAAAAAATTGACTTATTTTTTGTAGTTAATGTTAGAAAAATGAGAGAATACTGAATTTAAAAAAAAAAGAACTACACAAACAGACTCATAGATACAGAGAACACTTTGGTGGTTGCCAGATGGGAGGAGGGTTGGGGGAATGGGGGGAAAAGGTGAAGGGATTAAGAAGTACAGATTGGCCCAGCCAGTGTGCTCAGTGGGTTGAGTGTCATCCCATGCACAAAGAGGTCACTGGTTCGATTCCCAGTTAGAGCACATGCCCAGGTTGCGGGCTCAATCCAGTAGGGGGCGTGCAGGAGGCAGCTGACTGATATTTCTCTCTCATTGATGTTTCTATCTCTCCCTCTCCCTTCCTCTCTAAAAAATCAGTAAAAATATTTCTTTTAAAAAAAGGAAGTATAAATTGGTCGTTACAGAATAGTCATGGGGATGTAAAGTAACAGCACAGGGAATATAGTCAATATTTTAAGAAGTATGTATATGTCAGATAGGTATGAGATTTATTGGGATGATCACTTAGTAAGTTATGTGATGTCTAATCACTGAGATGTACACCTGAAACTAATATTTTATATTATAATTGAAAAATAAAACATTAATAAAAAAGAAAATAAAAAACTACACATATGCCCTTCAGATATCTTGTCTCTCTGTGTGAATCATCCCATACCAAAGGTCCAGTCATGGTATGTGAGTCCACATTCTATTTTAGAATAACTGATATTAAGCAGTTTTACTTGTCACATAATCTGACAGTCTGGCCGTGTTGAGTGATTTGCCGTTCTCCATGTATGACATACTCTCTCATATTTCTATGCCAGAATGTACTTAATTAATAGTATTTATCCTTTTGTATTTTAAATATATTTTTATGTGTGTTTAAATAAACATGCTGAGATAAATAAAAAGATTAATTCTCCTTTCTAATTGTTTAGGTCAATCTGTCATATACACTTAATTATTAAAGACAAAGAGAAGAAATGTTTGCTCTCAGGACCAACATTATATACTTATTATTATCACTACTAATTGTTAATATTTTCTATATACTGAAAACTATTTTAACATTATATATTTTGTTTTTCATGGAATTGGTAAGATCCAGGGATGGTTTTTCCTTGTGTTTTATTTTACATATTTGTGTTTTGTATTGTGTTAAGACAATCATGTTTGGGTTGATCTATTTATTAAATTACAAGTTTATGCAAACCATTACATTTGGAATAGGAAGAAACAAGGTTGATTCAGGACATAATTTCAAATATCTATTAAATTTAAAGAAAACAATAAAGTAAGTCTTAAAATTATAGTTTAAATGTTTTGATAGTTTAGAGTGATTTGTTAACTGAATTGTTTAACTTTTTTTGCCCACAAAATGAATTATTTTCAAAACATTGTTTTTCAGCTTGGAATTAACCTTTCCTCTGGAGTTGGGCTTATGATCTTGTCGATTTATAGATGGGCAGAGTCTTCTGTATTGATTTGAGCTTCTGACTGTGAGCTATTTTTACATAAAGACCTAACTTTATGTTGATGTTTGGAAATACAGTTAAAAATTCTAGAATTATTCTAATTTACATGAAATAAAGCAATGGATTTCAATTCCAGGAAATTTAGTTCTTTTAAAAAGATCATATTTCAATACGATATGTGGGGCAGTCAGAAAAAAAATATTTTAATGATATTGTAAACATCATTTAATTTTACTTTATATGGAAATGATTAGAATAAGATAGAAGGAAATTTAAGAAGATTTTTGAGGTAAAAGAGCATCAACATACAATACAATTTATATTCCTTTCTTTTTAAATTGGTAAGTAATGATAAGGACTGAATAAAAGATGATAGATGAGAGTTTTTTGAGGGGAATATGTCAGGGAAAGGTTTAGAATGACAAAATATGTTAAATCTTTCTTTTAAAAGCCAGGAAAAGAAGTCAAAATTTGAAACATTTCAAAGAAAGATAATATCAGAGTGCTAGAGTTAGTCTAAAACACCATAAATAGTCAACAATTTTTGTGTAGCTTTCCCATAAAAGAAAAAGCATGCATACACCACACATTTAATTTGTATTTTAGTAGATAATTTTCATAGGACTTGAAGACAGGAGAAGGCACATGAATTTGCAGTATATACATGGAAGAGAATGGTCTGATAGTAGTATTGACATTGACTGCAGTAAGAATACAGTAGATGTGCACTTTGGATAATAGGCAGTTGCAATAGAAATGAAACCATATTATAATACTTATAATTCAGATATTCTGCAACTTTTTATTAAGCCAGGCAGTAGTATGCTATAGCAACATCTTTGAGAAGATATGTTTGTTTTTTTTATCCTCACCCGAGGGTATTTTTGCATTTATCTTCAGATAGAGTGGGAGGGAGAAAGGGGGGCAGAGGAGAGAGAAACATCAGTGTGAGAGAGACACATCGACTGGTTGGCACCCACACGACCCCAACCGGAGCCAGGGCCAAACTGCAACTGAGGTACATGCCCTTAGCGGGAACTGAATCTGGGACTCTCTAGTTTATGGGTCGAGGCTCTAACTGCTGAGTCAAACTGGCCAGGGTGATATATTTCTTTTTATATTATTAATAAATAAGGATAATACTCTCATTTACCTCTCTAGCATCACCTTTTACTATTGCCCTTCAGTCTTTTAAAATTACTTACTTTTTAATTTTATTCCTTCTTGCCTGTGTGCCTTTGTAATAACTCCTTTCTCTACTCAAAACTTTTCTCTTTTGTCTACTCAAAACTTTTCTCTCTGTCACTTTCTAGGAAATCCCTATCTATTGTTCAAACTTGACTCAGATTATGTCTTCTGGGAAGCTTTAAAAAAAAAAAAATCCTCCTGAGGACATGCTTAGAGAGAGAGAAAGCATATCAGCGTGAGAGAGAAAAATTCATACATGCCCTGACCAGGGACCACACCTGCAACCCAGGCATGTGCCCTGACCGAGAATCAAACCAGCAACTTCTCTGTAGGATGACACTCAGTCAACTGAGCCACTCTGGTAGGGTTGGGATACCTTTTAATGACACCTCTCCTGCTCCCTCCCATTCCCATGACACTCAACCTTATAGTGAGCATAGCACTAAGACTGTTTTAGTAGTCTTTCTCATTAGTCTGAACTAAAGGGCAGCCATCTTATATTGCTGTCTTGTTATCTACATCACCTAAAACAGTGCATAATACTTAGTAGATGCTCAGTAAATGTTTAATGGTAAAATGAATTTTGCAGATATATTTAATTAGATGGAATATATATATTTCTCTCTGTGTATATGTATAATATACTTTATATTAAGATCACCTCTTATTTGGTTAGAGCATCATCCTGATGCACCAGTATCATGGATTTGATCCCTATCAGAGCACATACAAGAGTCAGCCAATGAATGCATAAACACAATGTTTCTTTCTCTCTTTCTTTTTCCCTCCCTCCCCTCTTTCAAATCAATAAATTAAAAAAAATATTACCAAAGGAAATGTATATCCAGCAAATGTTTATTCAGGTGCTATAGAAAATAGTCAAAAGAAAATGTATTTTGTAGCAATATATAACTTCTAATTTAAGTGTAATGCTTTGTAAGAAATTCTTAAGAATTTTTGCCTTAAAGCTCCGACAATGGACTGTAGATATGGGGATAACTATAATATGAAGTGGCATGGGCAACTTCAAAACATTAACAAATCATTCTAGAGTTTCCCCTGGTACTGAATATTACAATATTGTAAATTTATTTTGACTAGAAAACACTTTTAAAAATTTGTCATACTTTTTTCCTTCTTCTTTTTTTTTTTAGCCATCACAGAAAATTCAAAGACAAACTGGAAGATAACTCAGGATTTCTTCAGAGAAGAATATATGCTAAACAATGCCATTGGTATGTGTGCTCTGCTGAGAGCTTTGAAAATGGAATCAAGAAAAGCAGCACAGTAGGAATTATTAAAAATGTAATCAATAGACACTCTTATTTAATCTTTTATATACTATGTGCCAGGCATAAATAAATTTGATGAACTATTCTGACTGCTCATTCCAAAGCAGTTCACACCTTAATATTAGTAGGCTATACTTACTATTTGTCATTCAGTCAATATGAAAACATAATTCTGATCATATGGCTGGCTTTCTTGGAAAACTAAAAACTTGGGTCCCAGTTTTCTCTGTAGAAGAAAGTATCACTTCCTAATTCTTGAAGAACTTTGGGATGAAAATTTCTTTATAGTTGATGTTCCAGATTTCATTGGAAGTGAAATAGTAGTTTTATCAAGCATGTGTTTCAAATGTGAAATTACAGGGAATAATGCAGTAATTACCTGTGTACCCACCAGAATGAGCAGACATCAATATTTTATTTTTGCTTAATGATTTACAATTTATATAAATAAATTAATTCTACAAGTTTTAAAATTATAGTTATGTCTACTTTGTTGCTTTACTCAGTGCCATTTCTTTCTCTCCCCAGAGGCAACTATTGTCTTTAATTTGTAGTATTGCTAACTCCTAGACCATACTCTATATTTATATTACAGATTTATGAGCAAAAATACTATTATCTGTGTTTTTGAAACTTACATAAATACTATTCTTAAGTTTTTAATAACATGGAATAACTTTTCTAAAGTATTCAATATTATAAATATATCCCATATTATTTATTCTGCATTAATGAATATTTTAGTTTTCAAACTTTTTACCAGTATACCTTGTTGTACCTTTATATATATCCCCTTCATGCCCATGTGGAAAACTTTCTCTGGAAGCAGAATGGATGGATCACCAGAGTTTATACGTCTTCAGTTTATTTCCAGATTCTACTCTAAAGTCCAAGACTTGATTTTCTACCCATCCTTTCCATAATGTTCTGTTGTTAAACTTTGCATGTTTAATATTTTATTGTGGCTTTAATTTGTATTTCATTGACCAATGGTGAGGTAGAAGATGTTTTCTTATGTTAATTGAGCATTTAGTTTTTTTTTTCCCCTCAGTTTTGTACTTTGTTCATCTTTCTATTGTATTTTTTTGTCTTTCAGACTTTGTAGGTCTTTATGTATTTTGGATTCTTTGCTTTTGTAGATTATACCTATTACAAGTCCATTTCTCTCAGTTTGTTGCTTTAAGTTACCTTTTGGTATATACAGGTTTTTTTGTTTTGTTTTTTTATCCTCACCCGAGGACATTTTTCCATTTTTTGTTTGATAGAGTGGGAGGGAGAGAGAGAGAGAAACAGCGACGTGAAAGGGACACATCGAATGACTGCCACCCACACGACCCAACCAGAGTCAGGGACAAACTGCACCCAAGGAACGTACCCTTAGTGGGTCTCTCTGGACCACAGGCTGACGCTCTAACTGCTGAGCCAAACCGGCCAGGGCGATATATACAGGTTTTTATTTGATGGTATGAAATGTATTCAATCTTTTCCTTTGTGATGTCTGCTTTTTTGCATTGAAAAAAAAAAAAGGCACTTAACACTGAGGTTATTAAGATGTTCTCTCATATTTTCTTTTAATAGCTTGAATATTTTGTTTCTTTATACTCTAAGTCTTTAATGTTCTTGAAATTTTTTGCAGATGACATCTAACTTTTATATTCCAGCTAGAAAGCCAGATGTTGCCATACTTTTATTAAAAAGTATATTCCTTCTTCACTGACTTTAATGATACCTCTGTCATATATCAAATTCTTATATATGACCAGGTGTGTTTTATGATTACTTTGTTCATCAATCTGTTTGTACTTATGTTGAAAGTTAGTGTCAAAATTATTACAGCTTTAATATATATCTTTAATATGCCCTAGTTTTCTTTTAGAATTGTCCTGGCTGTTCTTGGACTTTAGATCTTCCATATGAATTTTAGAATTATTTTGTCTGATTCCACAAACGATTCTATTGAGATTTTTACTGGAATGAGAATGAGTTTTAGATAATTTGGGGGGGAGGGATATTGTTATCAAAATATCAATATTTTGATATTGAGTTTTCCTATCCATGAATGTGGCATATCTCTTTGTTTATCCAAGTAGAAGACTTAAAAAATTATTAATTATAATTTGCATACTATAAAATTCATTCATATTAAGAATACAATTCAATTTTTTAAAAGATCCTCACCCAGGATATACTTTTATTGATTTTTAGAGATGGGGTGGGGGTGGGGCATCTATTGGTTACCTTCCATACACTCCCTGACCGCAGACCAAACCCAAAACCTAGGTATGTGCCCTGACCGGGAATTGAGCCCTCAACCTTTTGGTGTATGGACAGTGCTCCAACCAACTGAGCCCCCTGGCCAGGGCCAATTCAATAATTTTTGGTAAACTAGTGCAACCATCAACATAAACCAGTTTTAGAACATTTTCATCAGATTGACTTCCATGTCCTTTCATAATGTTTTGTCATTTTCTCCATGAAGATCTTCCTTTTTAAAAAATGTTTCTTCTAGGTAGCTTATTATTATTTTTGTTACTACATTTAATGGTAATAGTCCTATTACATTTACAAATTGACTATTTCTGGCATATAGAAATGAAATCTTTTTATTTTAATATATTTTTTAATATGTCTTTATTAATTTTTTAGAGAGGATGGGAGAGAGAGAAACATTGATGTGAGAGAGATGCATTGATTGGCTATCTTCTGCACACCCCCTACTGGGGATCGAGCCTGCAACCTGAGCATGTGCCCTGACCAGAATCAAACCAGGACCTCTCAGTCCATGGGACAATGCTCAATCCACTGAGCCACACCGGCCGGGCAATATTTTGTTCTTATATCCAACAACCCTGCTGAAATTTTTAATTAATTCTAATGCTATTTTTATAGTTTCTCAGACTTTCTACTAGGCAGTTCTACCATCTGCTCATAATTGTTTTGTCATCTTTCTTTCCAGTCCTCTTATTTATGATTTTTCTTGCTGTATTTTGACTAGGACTTTTATTATAATGTGTTATTTTTGATGTCCATGGGCAAACATTAAAATTTTTCTTTTATTTTATTAAACTTTTTTTTTTCTTTATTGATATTAGAGAGAGAGGGAGAGGGAGAGGGAGAGAGAAACATCGATAAGAGTGCCCTGGCCGGTTTGGCTCTGGTTGAACGTAGGACCAAGGAGTCACAGGTTCAATTCCAGCTGAGGGCTCGTCCCCAGCCCTGGTCTGGGTAATGCGGGAGGCAGCCATTCGATGTTTCCCTCTCACATCAATGTTTCTCTCTCTCTCTGCCCCTTCCCACTCTAACTGAGGATATTTGAGAAAATGTCCTCAGTGAGGATTAAAAAAAAAAACATCAATGAGAGAGAACATCGGTTGGCCACTTCCTGCACGCCCCCCAGTGGGGATCAGGTCCACAACCTGGGCATGTGCCCTGACCGGGAATTGAACTGGCAACCTCTTGATGCTTGGGTCAACACTAAATCACTGAGCCACACCATCTGGGCAATATTTTATTTATTTAGTTTTTGGTACGTGCTCCTAGCAGGAACCGAGCCCAGAACTCTCTGGTCCGTAGACTGACACTCCAACTGCTGAGCCAAACCGGCCAGGGCTTATTCTTTAGTGTAATCCTTTTGTAGATACTTTTTTTAAAATCAAATTACAGGTATTACTTCTATTCCAGATTTGTTAGGGTTGTTGGTTTAGTTGTGGTGGTGGTGGTGGTTATCCAGTGCTTGAGCATCTACTTTCTCTGACTTTTCTCTCTTCTCCTGGCAGGCACTTAATTGAGTTGCTGGGTTAGCAGATAGTTTTTCTAGTCATTTCTAGTTTTACAAATTGAATAGCTCTTCCTGAAATTTGTGTGGGTAGTTCATTGAATAAGATATGTGGCCCAGAATTTCTTCCCAACTGAAAACAAATACACACTCACTCATAATCTTTGGCTGTACATTCCAGTCAATTACTGATTTGAGTTTCTTATTTATTTCCGGCATCTGGGGATTTCCCTTGTTTGGCTTTGAACTTGGATATGCATTTTAAATATATTTTTTTTTCCTAGAATTTCTGTATGTTTGAAGTAGGAGTGCGGGAAAGAGGCTGTTTCCCACTTTAGCTCAGTGAGCCAAATTGAATGGACATTTCTCACTTCTTTAAGCCTAAAATAGAACATTCCAAGTTTACTTATAATGTTTTCTTCATTCTAAAAATTTATACCACCACTGTCCATTAGGACTTTCTGCAGTGATGAAAATATTCTATATCTGTGCTGTCCAGTGTGATATCTACTAACCACATGTGGCTAATGGGCACTTGAAATGAGGCTAGTGTTACCAAGAAACTGAAGTTAAAATTTTATTTAATTGTAAGTAATGTAAGTCTAAATAAGTATGTTTAGATGGTGTAGTACTATGCTAAATAAAAGGAAATGGAAAAAACAAAGCTTTAAGTAGTTTGAAAAGAGTATGGTAAAATGTTAATGTACAGAGAGAAAGCCTTCAAGGTATATCTCTGTACATTGTAATGATATTTTAATCAATAAGGAGTTTGACAAGTTCTGGCTTTGTGTTCTACATCAATTAGCTTCTAATATTTTATATCTGAAATACATATATTTATAACTGAAATGGTATGTGTGTATGTATCTCCATTTTAATCAGTAGATAAATTTCCATAGTTTCTGGGGAATTATAGTTCAAAATCAAGGGCTATCGAAGTCCTTGTGAATGTGAAATTAGATTTGTGCTTTGGTGGCCTATTTGGCAAATTGGGAATATTTATAGAATTGCTAGATGGATCAAAACTGCAGTTTTATATTGACCTTTGGTAAGGAAATAATATAGGCAACAAACTGTAACAGAAGCTCAGTGATTTACATTTTTGTTGTTGTGAACAATTCCCCCTCACAAAGGGGGGTGGGGAGGGACAGAGTAAAAGTTTACAAAATTTTTGAGCTGATCTTCTGAGGCCATATATTAATTCTTGTCATGTAGTAGATGAGGCAACTTATCTATGTATAATATATGATATACACATATGTTATGCATATAACGTGTGTATATACATATACACACGTAAGTATGTATATTTATACCTAACTTCCAGTCCATGCTTTTTTCTTTATGTTACACTTCTCTTTGTATCCATGTATACTTGAGATATATGGAAAAAAGTTATGTTCTTTAAAATACAACTGTGTATAAAAACACCAGTGGCTTATAAGGCATTTGTTAATCATATTTCTCAATAGCTGAATTAAACAAGGTTTCCATTTGTTCCAAATTGGAGTATTAAGTTTTTAAATGATAATGAACAGATGATTAGGATTGTTTATGGATTGTCGTTTTAAGAAGAACATTTTACAAGCCATACATTTAGCCTACCTTGGGATTTTTTGTAAAATTTTCCTAGGGAAAATACTCAAAATTCATGTAATGTGATATTGGGGGGCGAGAGTGGCGGTTAAAGAGTATTTTAAACATTGCAGTTAATTATAGCTCTTTTTCTTTTAGCTTCTTGCCAGAAACCGTATATTGCATTTATTCATGGAATTACAATGGGTGGGGTAAGTAGACTGTTTTACTTTCATCGTTACTATGTGAGTTATATTAAAAATAAGTTTATTATTATTATTATTTTTTTTTATCCTCACCCGAGGACATTTTTCCATTTTTTGTTCAGATAGAGCGGGAGGGAGAGAGAGGAAGAGAGAGAGAGAGAGAAACATCGACGTGAAGGGACACATCGAGTGGCTGCCACCCACACAACCGACCAGGGCCGGAGACAAATTGCAACTGAGGTACGTGCCCTTAGCGGGAACCGAACCCGGGTCTCTCTGTACCGCAGGCCGACGCTCCAACTGCTGAGCCAAACCAGCCAGGGCTATTATTAAATAGAAGTAGGCCGTGGCTAGGTAGGTCAGTTGGTTAGAGTGTTGTCCTGATACGTGAAGGTTGTGGGTTCGAATTCTGGTCAGGGCACATACAAGAAGCAACCAATGAATGCATAAGTAAGTGGAACAACAAATTGAAAGCAAACCAGGAATTAAGTGATGAATATAATACAGTAAAACTCATTGAAACAAAATTGTGTTTGGATTTTAGAGCCCTGCAAGTTTCAGATATAATATTTACTTATAGCACTTTTAGACTGTCTCCACCCAAAAGAAAATGTTCTTAATGTTAGGTGAATAGAGGGGATGTGGTTGCCTAGACTGTATCTGTTGCACAAAACCTCACCTTAGTGAAAATGTTTGGCTATTTTATGAAGTTCTCTGAAACTGCATTTCTGTCTGTTGAAAATATTTATTTTGAGTCTGTGCTATTACAAAGAAGTCTTAAACGTCACTGGTCTTAAATTTGATATGGAGTTGGATTGGACAAGTGGTAAATTGTATGGTACTGACTATAACAAAGACAGACCTTTAAAGAAATGAGAGGTCAGAATGAGCCTTCATGGCAGGAAAAGGTAGGATTTAGGTAGATAGTAGAAGGCCAAAGGGTAGAATTTAAACTTTCACCCGTTCCAGTGTTTCAGAGATTTAGACATTGGGAATATAAGAAGTCCTCCTCTTTTTCTATCGAATGGTGCTAGATAAAGCCGGTTGGGCACTGGGAATTCCTTAAAACTTGCACGTCATTTTGGGAGGGGATTCCACTAGCAGCTCTGGTTAGGAAGCAGGCTCAAGGGCAATCTATGAGTCTCTGCTTGGTGACAGGTACTGAGCATGAGTTAATTGTGTTGTGTGTGTGTGGGTTTTTTTTTTTTTTTTTGACAAGGAAGTGTTAACATAGGGAAGATAAGAGCTCCCTAAAAAAATACTGCAGAACAAGGGGAAGAAAAATAATCTGAAGCATTGAAGGTAGAGCTGTTCTATGAATGTGGAAGGAACCAAGAAAAAAATGAAAACAAAAAACATTGGGGATACTTCCTAACATGTAGAAAGATGTGGCCCCAATAAAATAGGAAAAACAACCCATAAGGAGACAACAAGTTCAGATGAAAGGTTAATAGGTTGAAAAGGTGAACCAGGAAGGATGACTGGAAATTAAAATGCAGTAGCAGAACTGACATACCACTTTGAAAGCAATAGATTAGAAGGAGTCAAATTTGATATTTATTTAATAAGACAAATAATAACATGTCTCTGGAGGACAAAAAGGATAAAGGTAAAAATGATGAGAATGAACATTTTTTAGGTAATGAATGTGAAAGATACTGGAAACCCAACAAAGGATTGATAAATATTCCATGGAAAGTAAATCAAATAGTTGGAACAGAAATGATAGTCAGATATAATTAAAAATGATTTTCTTTAATTAAAAACTAAAAACGCAATAAAGGGCACAGTATTTCAGATTAAATCAGTGAAAAGAGTTGCATACTTAGATAAAAGCTCAGTGAAGTTTTTTAAAATTATAAGATTTAAGGAAAAACCAGAACAAAAAAACAACTGCAAGTGTTCAGGCCAAGGAGTGGGAATGAAGGGGAGGTTAGTGAATTCAGATTATGTACAAAAGAACATAAATCATTCTGGTTTCAGACTTTGTTGTATTAAGTGCCAGAAGACAGTGGATTGATGAAGTTGTGAAATAAAGTAATTCAGACCCAAGAAATTTCTATCAAATCAAGTTATCATTTAGTATAACTATAAAACAAAAATATCCTCAGAAATGAAAGGACTTGGAAAATATATTGCTGACATACTATTGTTGAAAATATTTCATTAAACATTTGGTCTAGTTGACCAAGAGATTACTCAAATTTAATAACACAGACTAATTTTTAAAAATATTTGTTGATTTGAGAGAGAAGAATCGGGGCAGGGGGGAGAGACATCAGTTTATTGTTCCACTTATTGATGCATTCATTGGTTGCTTCTTATATGTGCCCTGATTAGAGATCGAACCCACAATCCTGACATATTGGGATGATGCTGTTACCAACTAAGCTACCCAGCCAGGACCAACACAGACTAATTTTGAAATGAAAGGTTTGGTGAACTGTTTTCAAGGTGTTATCCCTGCACCAGTTGTATCCGCTGCCCTTGGGAACTTGTTAGACATACACATTCTTGGGACCTACATCAGAGTCACACTGTAGTGGTAGAGCTCATCCGTCTGTGTTTTAACAAGCCTTCCTTGAGTCATGATAAGTGTGAGAACCAATTAGTGCCCCAGGTCATCCATTGTATGTAATAAATTGACTTCTTTCCTGTTTCTGTCCTATGCTTCAAGCATGGTACCAGTTATAGACCATCCTTGGGAAAATTGAGAAAATAGTCAAGTTGTTTACGGTGTCATGTGGCTCAGATGAGGAACCACTCAGAAAAGTTCTTTTATATTACATATTATTAGTTCCTCCTAAAAAGAACCACATATACACCTATGTGTCTGTTCTCCCATCAGATCTGCCACCTACATGTTTTATATATAATTTATATCTAATTCATCCTTAAAAACCAAAGTTCTACCCTATTTTGACAGTCTTAACTATTACTATGATTAGATGTGATTTCTTCCTCCACCGACACTGCATTCAGTCATACTTCAAATTTTGCATTTATACTTTATTAGTTATTATGAAATATACCTAAGTATTTTTGTGGTCTATAAGAGCAAAGACCAGCGTGTCTTTTTTTTCAATCTTCCCATAACAACTAGAAATGCAAAGGGTGTATTTAATAAATTATTAAAACAACTCTACTCTATCCCCAGACAGGTGGCTCAGTTGGTTGGAATGTTGTCCCATGCATCAGAAAGGTTGTAAGTTTGATTACCAGTCAGGGCACATACCTAGGTTGTGGGTTCGATGTCTCAGTCCCCCCACCCCCACCCCTATAGAGGAGGCAACTGATCAATGTTTCTTTTTTTAATTTTTTAAAAATTGATTTTAGAGAGGAAGAGAGAGGGAGATAGAAGTAAAAACATTGATGAGAGAGAACATCGATTGGCTGCCTCCTGCATGCCCCCCAGTAGGGATTTGGCTCACAATCTGGGTATGTACCCTGACCAGAAATCAAACCGGCAACCTCTTGGTGCATGGGTTGATGCTCAGCCATTGAGCCCCACCACCCAGGCCTGATCGATGTTTCTTTCTCACCAGTGATGTTTCTCTCTCTCTCCCTCTCCATCCCCCCCTTTTGTCCCTTCCTCTCTCTCTAAAAATCAATGAACATATCCTCAGGTGAGGATTAAAAAAAACAACACAAAAAACCCAGCTTTACTCTAAATAATAATAAACATCTTTCATAGCCTTGAAAGAGAGAAATTTAATACTGGAAGTGAACCAGTTCTTTATTTTTGCAATGGGATTTTATAGGTATCTTGGTTTTGAAGGCTGACTTTTCATGTCTCATTTACAGACTTTGCTTAATCTAAGACTCGTAGTGAACTCCAGGTTTTTGGGGTTTTTTTTGTATGTGCTGCTAGCGGGAACCAAACCCGGGACTCTGGTCCGCAGGCCGACACTCCAACCGCTGAGCCAAACCAGCCAGGGCTGAACTCCAGCTTTTGAAAAAGTAATCTTCTAGGTCAGTGGCTCTCAACCTTGGCAGTGTTTTAGAGTCACTTGGGAGTCTTTATAAATCCCAGTGCCCACGCTTTACTCACCTCCCAGAACAATAAAATCAGATATTGGACTGAAACTAGGCATTTTTAAAACTCCCCAGTGATCCCAAAGTGAAGTTAGGTTGTGAACTGCTGGTCTATCTATTCAGTGTGTAGTTCAGTGTTATCTGTGGATCTTTTTCATAGTTCTCTTAAGACCATGGTTTCCACAGGTTAGCTTCTATCAGAATCATTTAGGGGGCTTGTTGAAACACAAATTCTTCATCCTACCCTCATTTCCAGTTTAGTCAGTTTGAAGTGTGGCCTGAGAATTTGCATTTCTAGCAAGTGGCCAGATGCTGCTGCTGATAGTGAGGCTCCTCACTTTAGGAACTCTATCATAAGGTGTTGAGAACATGGAGTTTGTTATTCAAAAGGCCTTTATTTTTAGAATTTTTATCAGAACCTGAGTGTTATACAAAATTATTTTTAAGTATTTCATTAATATGTATTATATTTTAATATATAATATATGCTAATATTTTAATATGGAAGTATGAGAATAAGATAAGCTCATCTGAGGATATTGTTGCATTTATCTTCAGATAGAGCAGGAGAGAGATGGGGGGAAGAGAGAGAGAGAAACATTGATGTGAGAGAGACACATCGACTGGTTGCCACCCACATGACCCCAACTGGGGCAAGGGCTGAACCACAACCGAGGTACGTGCCGTTAGCGGGAACCAAACCCAGGACTCTCTGGTCTGCAGGCTGACACTCTAAACACTGAGCCAAACTGACCAGGGCACAAATTGTTTCATATAATGTAAGAAAGAATTATAAGAAAACCTGAACCAACTAAAAGATGGTACCATAGAGCTTGATTTTTTTTTTTAGATATTTTGTTCAGGTAGAGTGGGAGGGAGAGAGAGAGAGAGAGAGAGAGAAACATCGATGTGAAAGGGACACATTGGGTGGTTGCCACCCACATGAACCAACCAGGGCCGGGGACAAACTG